GAGATTTGGTATAACTATAAATCTTTCGAATAAATGACCCAATCCGAGCTTTCAGAGTTCCTCGACGCCCCCGCCCCTTTTCGCCCAGAGGCCGAAAAAGAAAACATACCAGGCCAGGTAATTCATTATTCCGGCGAAAAATACTTGACCGGTATTCCAACACGAGATGATATAGAAGCGGAAAGTGATGACCATGAGGGTTCGGGATTAACCGCAATCCTTGATGATGCTCTATCCAGTTGCCAAGAAATTCCATTCATGGCCATTGATAATGAAGGATCCAGTCAAAAGATAAAAGGAAAGTACTGCTATGTATTACGTCTCTACGGTTCTCTAATTAATGGCCAAAAAGCGGTGGTAACACTTTTAGGTATTCGGGTTTTCTTCGACGTTCTTGTACCGGATGGAGAGTCACCAGATGATTGTGAAACAAAAGTAAGAGGTATTCTCTCTGGTAGTAAGGTGGAGACTTTAAAAATAGAGCATATTAAAGCTTTCCCTTTCCGCGGTTATCATACAGAAAAAAAGACATATTTACGAATTTATACGAGTGGCACTGGCAAAAGAAAGACAGCCATGAAAGCCATTCAAGATAATAATTACGAAACTGCATCAGATGACTTGTACTCATTCCACCGTAAAGTGGCAAGAGAGAATGGAATCCAACTTTCCGGATGGTCTATGCTAAGTAATTATATATATAAGAATAGAATTGATCCTCTCTGCCCGCACGCATTCTATACTTCTAAAAAAGATTTTCGGCCAGTGGCAGACCTAAAAATAATAAGTGACCGATTCCCCATTTCAACTCTCTTGCGAGATCGTACTCTCATCCTCACGTGGGATATAGAGACGCAATCCCGAGAGTTGGGTGAATTTGCCGAAGTCCTTGATCTGAATCATAATGTTTTTATGATTTGCATGACACTCCATTGGAAAGATGATCCAAAGCCATTAAAACAGATTTGTCTTGTAGACGTTGAGACGGAACCAGATCCGCGACGGATTACAATCATTTGCGGGAATCAAGTAAATCTGCTAAAAGCTTTCGCCCTCTGCTGGCGAGCATTTGCTCCTGACATCCAAGTTGGGTTTAATGATTCCGATTATGATTGGCGGTTCATAATAGAAAGGGCCTACCATCTTAACATTCTCGAATGGGTGTGGGAGCGAATGACAGGAAAGTTTGAAACAAAGGAAGAAATTCTAAAGTGGAAATATCGTGGAAAAATAGGAGCGAAATCTGAAAATAATTTCAAGAAAGGAAAGAAAAAGAATACAGACGAAGAGGAGATCATATGGGGATCGGGTGAGGAGGTCGAGGAGGAGAAGGATTTTATGGGAGCAATTAAGATCAAAATTACTGCGGAAGAGAATTTCTTTTCCAGTTTTCTTAAACTGCCAGGATGCGTACCAATTGATGTTCGAGTGTGTCTCAAAAAACGTTACCCTCGTTCGGAAGTAGAAAAGGAAGGTTCGCTTAAATTCTTCTTAAAAAAGTGTGGTCTTGACGCTAAAGCTGACATGCCATATGATGAAATGTGAAGAATCTATTCAGAGGCAAAACAAGATCCTTCTCCTTCAACTGCAAGAAAAATGCGTGAAGTAGCTAACTATTGCATTATAGACGCACTACGTTGCCAGGAGCTTTTGGTAAAGCTAAGTCAAATAAATGATTACAGAGAGGTCGCTTCCATAGCTCACGTTTCTTTGTTCGACTCACACTATCGCGCAAATGGAATGAAGGTACGAAACCTTCTGGGCACTTATGCTTTTAAACGAGATATGGTATTTAGCACAAGAGTATGCGAAAATATAGAAAAAGGGAAATATCCCGGCGCATACGTATTTCCGCCTAAAAAGGGGATTGAAACGAGAAGACCTGTAACGGGATTGGACTTTGCCTCATTATATCCCAGTCTCATCATGGCTTACAATCTCTCTCCAGATAAAATAATACTAACACATGGAGAGGCTGATATTGCGGAAAAAAATGGAAACATTTTACATAAGATTGAGTTTCCATTTAATAACCGTACCATTCAAGCTTGGAGTGTAAGACATGATAATCAATTCGAAAAGAAGGGCTTATATCCTGTTGTATTAGAGGATTTATTCAACAAGAGAGTAGAGCTTAAAGCACATCTTGCCACACTAGGAAAGAAAAAGCTACAACTTGGGAAGATAATAAGTTCAGCTAAAAAAAGAGGCAAAAGGATTCCGGGGAGCTTAAGTTCGGAATATTCATCCGTATGCTTCGATTATGATTATTTTGATTCGAAGCAAAGAGCTCTGAAGGTATACATGAACACTTTTTATGGGGAAGCAGGAAACTCAAAATCTCCAATCTTTCTTCGTGAATTAGCCGGAGGAACTACTTCAGCGGGAAAATATAACCTTAATTTTGTCGCAGAATTCGTAACAAAGAAAGGGTTTGGGATAAAATATGGTGATACCGATTCTTTATATCTCACCTGCCCGGATAAGTATTATGAAAAATGTGATGAAGCCTTCTCCAGGAAAGATCTTTCTAAAGAAGCGTACTGGACCGAAATGGTCGAAATTACTATGATTGTGATGAAAAAGTTGCGCGATCAAGTAAATGCTTATCTTAGGATAAAAAATGGCACATCTTATCTTAAGATGGCATATGAAGAGGTATTATTTCCCGTCTGCTTCACCGGCAAGAAAAAATATTTCGGTATACCACATGAAGATGTGGTCAATTTTAGGCCGGATAATCTCTTTATGAGAGGAATTGATACTGTGAAGCAAGGGAATTCTGAGCTCTTCAGGTTTATCGGAGAAAAGATTATGTGGGAGGCTATGGGTATCAATAACACACGTTCAATTCATAAAATTGTCGAAGACATTCTCCGAGATGCTAGATTTAAGCGGTGGGATTTTAACCAGTTTGTTGCAATGTCTAAATGGAAGGCTAAAGGAGGCCTCGCATGCAATAAAATCTTTATGGAACGGATGAGAGAAAGAATAGCAAGCGGGGAAAAAAATATAAAGATCCCTGACTCTGGCGAGCACTTTAGCTATGTTGTAGTGAACGATGGTCCCCGCTATAAAGAAGATGGCACGAAATCAACAAGGAAGGGCGATTATATGGAGTTCGCAAATATTGCGGAAGAGTTTAATATGGAGATAGATATCAGCTACTATTTAGAACAAACGGTAGGAATGTGCGCACGTTTTATTAACGAAGATGATAGTTATCAACCGCCCCCATCGGATAAAATAATGCAGATTAAAGATTCGGATAAAAGAGAAAAGGAGATCGATGATTATTCCCAGAGAAAGGCAAAAAACTGGCTTAAAAGATATATAAAAGGTTTGCAATAAACTTTCTAGGTATTTCGACGATTCGTCCGAAGCCAATATAGACGATATCATAGAATTATATGGATAAGTACTCTTAGCGGGATGTGGCAATTTCAACTAAGAATACTTAGCCGTTAGTCATTAAGACGCTTTGCTAGGCGCTTCGCATTATATTTTTTATATATTTTTTCTCGTGCAATAATACCGGCTAACTTCAATTTCTATCTTCGAACTTCCGGCCTCCGATCATACAGCCCAGCCTCGGAAATGCCCGGAGATGATAAAAAATAATTCCGGTTAGGAGAATACTCAGTATTAGTTTTTTTCCATGAATTCCAGCATCTCCTGACCACAAACCATATAACCGCAATCAGTAGTAAAGCAAGTATGGAATACATTACCATCGGCGACATTAGAGAACTCGTAATGACAGGAACAGTCACTGATGCTAGAGGCATTTCTTGGGACAATGGTACTGCTTCTGCGCCACCTTCCCTCGAAATAAACTTTTCAGAATGTGCTGGTCGGCTATGAATGGATTGATTGGGTAGGGTATCTGTCTGGCTTCTCGAAACCATCTCATCCCGGGGTAATAGCTCTTGCAAAGCCTCTAATATATTTTCTCTGGCAAAACTTTTATCAAGTTCCATAACTTTATTTTCAAGACCACGCTCATAGACGAAGGGTCTTAAATCGTCACTGACCCAACCTGGTAGCTTTTGCGATGAATTATCCATAGGCGGAGGTGGGGGATTAGAGAGATCTACTATTTCATTATCTTTTTTTGAGATTATCTCCCGGAGAAAAGAATTCTCCTCCATTGAATTTAATCGCCCCTTTCTCAAAGTATCAATTTCCCGACTGGTTATCTCATGTGTTGCTTCCATCCCTTTTTCCATACATTCTATTTCATGATTTTTTGAATTAAGGTCCTCATTCGCTCGCTCCAATTCAAGCTTGAGAGAATCATGATATGCTAGTTCTAGTTCCAAGTCACCCAACTTACCTTCTAAATCACGTTTTTTAGTCTCAAGAGAAAGAATCTGGAGCTTATCAGCGGACGAAGCTTTTTGGGCCAAAGTCGCCTTTCTCTTCAGTGTTTTAATCTCTGATTTGAGCGATTGGATTTCAGCAGTATATTTGGCTTCAAGCTCACGTTGACTTTCAGAATGAGCCTTCCGTTCAGAGGTAATTTGGGATCTAAGCTTAGTACTGGACGCATTTAACTGACTAGCTTTATTTCCCATATCAGCATAAATTCGCTGGAACTCCTCCTCTCGCTCCGAATACTCTGAATTTTTAGCCAATAACTTTTCACAAAGATCATTAATTTCGGCTTTAGAACTAAGAGTGGTATACAATTTTTTTTCGAGCTCTTGCTCATACGCACTACCAAGCCGATGACCTTTATTATTAATATCTTTCAAGGTATACACATTGGTCATAGCCTTTTTTTCGGCTTAGTTGCTAGTACAGTAAAAATTAAAATAATTAAATATAGCCAATACTGATAAAAAAAACTATGCGTGGATATCTAAGATCCTTTTTTCTCATAAATTCGAAAAAATGTAGACTTCCACTTTTCCGAGCAATAGTGAGGTAAAAGGCTAAAAAATACAAAATATCATCACGGAGGGTATATCAAATCTGGCAAGGATAGGAGTATCCTCCTGGTATTAGCTTGGCTAACCAAAATAATGATTGGGATAAAGAAATTGAAAGCATATATAATTTATATGCCAAACTCTAGCGAACGAATGGATGAATTTTTCGGCTAAGCCATTGTAACAATTTTCAAAGTGAAATTTATTTTTTGGAAGACAGATAGTCCTAGTATTGCGCATAGCACTGATGCTCCCGATACTCCTGATACTTTGCGTATTACTGATACTTTGCATAGATTTAATAATTTACACACATTTTTTACTAATATCACGGATAGAGCCCATAGTGTGCATAGCACTGATGCTTCCGATACTCTGCATACTACGCATAGTATTAATATTTTGTATACACATTTTTTATTAATAGTATGAAAATCTGATCGACTCCCAATATGATCAACCCCCCATCTAGAAGATATATGCGCTCCGATGCTACAAAATTATCTTCTGCAGATTATGAAGATATCATGCAATACCGAGATATGATATCCAAGCCTCTGGATCAATTAAGAAAGAAATTCCATGTATCAACTTCTCGTTTATATCAGATTTGGAGAGGACAGGAGGTAGGAAGGGTCGAATGGAACTATTCAGCAGTCCCGCTTTCTTACCCAAGTACAAATGTTATAGATAAACAGGATGTACCAGAGGTTTCAGTAGAATGCAATGTTATTTCTGGGAGTAAGGTAAAAAAGACCGGAGGAAAGAAACCCAAGTCCAAATCCGTTAGAATCTCTGAACCATCTATTACCCAGAATCAGCCAACGTCTACAAGCCCAGAGGGTTCTGAAGGTTTAAATATTAGCAGAGAGGATCTGAATGCATTTTATGAAAAAGAAGCTAAGAGAGACGAAAAAAATAAAGCAGAGGTGAATAGACGTCTAGCCGTGTAGAAGATATTTCCCATTTAGTTTATCATAGCGTACTAATAATTTCTCACACAATTCGTTAAGATCCTCTTTAGACTTAAGAGCGCTATATAACTTTTTTTCGAGTTCCTTATAACTTATGCGTTTTTTTTTAATGTCTTGTCCCCACTTAAGTCTTGCGAAATGCAGTTCGGGATCGAAGAATCATCACATTCAGGAGTAATGTTCACGCAATTCACCTCGAGCTTGTTCTTGACCTTATGCATAGTGACCGGAATGATTAAATCCTCTCCATTATGGGGAATCTTCAACTCATCTTTGTCCCAATCAATTGCGCATTTATATTTCTTAAGAAGAGGGTTCGAAAATATCAGCATTGGCTTAGAGTATTTTACAACTAAAAAATCTTCATATATGGTAAATCCCGGAGCTAAGGTTATCGGTAAATTGTGGACGACTCCAATGGATTCAACTGGTACAGTAGCAATACCACTAAGATCATGTTTTATGGATTTATCGATTTCATACCCTACGCGCTCGACAATATCTGGTGTTATAATGGAAAGTTCAGCGCAAGAGTCCAATGCCATAGCTGGAATTTTAAGACGCTTAATCTTGCATTTTACAGTTGCAATGCTTGTAATAGGCTCCTTTTTTTGGACGAAATCTATCTCCATAGGGTCATCCAAAATATCTTCTTCATCAGATAGTTCTGGTATCTTCTCGTCCGATTTTGATATCACAGAAGCTGGCTCTCGAAAAGATAAAAAATCACCACCCTTGGACTTGGTGGTTTTATCTTGAGCTAAGACAGGCTCGCAGTTTTTAGCCTGCTGAATCATATGTGGAAGCAAATTCTTAAATTCGATCTGAATAATTTTGCGGATAGTTTCTTCCAAAGACACCCCCTTAATACCTTGGCTATCTTTCTTCTTTCGGTCTGGTGTGGCGTTGTGAATATGAGACGAATTACTATCCTGCTTTACCTTACAAGGCTTGGATTTATTAAGGTCCTTAGTATTTGGTGGTAGTTTATTAGAACTATCCTTCCGCCTGCTCTGCTCATCACACTTCACTTTTTTTTTCCATGAGTTATATAAACATTCATACCACGATTTCCAGAGTCTGATTCAACCAAAGAATTATCAGAGTTAAAATCACCATCCTCAGGCTCTGACGCGTCATTATCAGAAAAATCAGAATTGGGATGTTCATCTACTGTAGCCATATGAACTCGACCACTCTTGGATTTGGAATCTTTGGCAAGTTTGGCTAAAAGAGTCTCGATTCTTCCTAATCTTTTTTCCAGTCCATTGGGAGTTGAGGATTCCGAGCGCGGACGCTGAGAAGATTTGGTAACTCTGGTATCTTTTCTGTTAAGTTTGGCTAAATGAGTTTCAATTTGTCCTAATCTTTTTTCCAACCCCCCACTATGATCTGAGGATTCCGAATATTGATACTGAGCTGATTTGGTGTCTATGGTATCTTTTCTTAAAAGTTCAGCTAAATGAGTTTCGATTACTCCTAATCTTTTTTCCAATTCCTCATTAATATGTTTATCGAAGGATAAGGCATTATTCGAATGAATTACATTTTCTGGTAAGTGTAAACGTTGGGCAAGTCTAGAATGCACCTGAATCGATTCTGCTAACTGTGTTTCTAAGGAAGCTATTCTGGAATTTAACTTATCAATCTCAGCTGACGAATTACCCTGAGAATTTTGGCCTCCATTTAAATTAGGAGCGCGGTCCAACCACATAGTTTTTAATTCAGTAAAAAATGCATCAATACCTCCCGGATTGGCAATTCTCATCATCATGTAAAGATCACCTGTTAATTGACTCTTAAGGAATCCTAAAACTTGCGCATCATTATCTGCCACTCCTAGTAGCAATGGGCGAATTCTGGTTTCATATGTGTCAGGAGTATCATATGACTGGAATCTTTCTTGAGTCAATCTTTGAATAGCTGACTGCTGATTTCCAACTGTCTCTCGCTGGTATTTTGCTCTCATCCAAGCCCGTAATGTATCTGGAGTATTTATAGCTGAATTACCTGCTACAAGACCATTATTAACTGGTACTGGGGTGTATTTTCCTCCCATCATAGATTTTAAAATTTCACACTTGTATGCATTGTCGAAATCTCCTGCATTCGCGTTTTCAAGAAGAGTCATATGCCCTTCAAGATGTGCCCAGGATTGTATAACCTTATCTAGGTATTCATCAGGAGGTTCTTGACCGGTATAAGACTGAAATTTTCCAAGATTAGGATTCAATATTTTTAATAATGGTAAACGTCTGAGGTGAGCATTAGCCATGTTTAGTAGTGGATTATTCTGAAGCGCCAAAATTTGTCCCTGCAAATTTAAAATATTCTGGTCTCTTTGCCTAATCACTAGCTGGAAAACAAACTTTTCACGTAGCAATTCACCAACGCGGGTTTGTTTTCTTACTATAATGACTAACATCCTATTTACCTGGTTTTGGGCATTGGTCTGCAACTGACGGGTATTTTGCTGAAGACGGTTAGTATATCGCTGATACAATAGCTGTTTAGCAAATTTTTCTCGCAATAATCCTTGAACACGCCTATCTTTATCCCGATATGAAAACATCCAGCGACGAGATTCCTGTCTCTCATTATGATAGGCCAGAATAGCCAGATCCCGCTCTCCTTGAACATTATCTCTTTTCCTTATAACTGCATCCCTTTCTCTCACAGTTCTTTCAGCCTGAACTCGGGATTCATCTAATAAACGTTGTAACCGTAAATTCTGATTTCCACTATCATTAAACTGGTTTCTAAGATCATCTACTCGCTGAATTGATTCATGTAATAAGTTCTGATATTGATCACGCTCAGCTGTAATATTTTGCAAAGTAACCCGAATAGTGTTTAACGAACCTCTGATTCCATCTATAACATTGGCAGGATTCTGCATAGGCGTACCGGCACCTCTAATATGATTTTCTATCCGGTCTAGTCCTCTAATAACATTTGCGATAAGATTAGTTGTTGCCATATCTAAAGCATTTATTGAGATTTTTTTATCTATGAGAAACTGGATCCTTGCTTTAAGACTCCCAACCTTATTTTCGAGCTCTATGATTCGGCTATCTTGAATAGATGCTATTTCCTCTTTGAATTTTTTATCTTGCTGTAACGCCCTAAGCTGTTTTCGCAAATCAGATATTTCTGATTTAAATTTCCCTATCTCCTCTTCATGGGTTAGGATTGTAGAATCTTGATAGGATATTGTTCTATAACATTGCTCAAGCTCTTTTACCAGAGATCGAATTTTTTTCTCATTACTCTTATTAATAGAAACTTCATCTCGAAGCTCACTACGAAGCTCCTGATTCGTATCTAAAAGCTGTGAATATGCCGGATCGCATGAAAGTGTAGGCATAGTATTTTCCACCTGATTTAAACACATCATATAATCATAGCCCGAGAATGAGCCAACCACAAATTATAATAGATCCTAATGAAGAGCTCCGCATAGTGTGTAGACTTCTGTATTATAATATTCCTGGATTTTGTCCGAATGCCAAGGAATTGCAAAAAAAATGCCAAGACGAAGGGTTCCGAAGTTTCCAATTGCGGGATGTTGCAAAGTGGTTAGGGTATCAATATAGCTATCAAATTTATCGACACCCATTACCTTGTAAAGCTGAGGCAAGTTTTTCAAAGATTAAGATTCCGAACAAAGTCCATCAATGCGATATATTGCTCCATACCCATGATCAAGATGGTGGATGGGTATTTGTTTGTACTCTCCTAGTTATCGATGTGGCAACACGTTTTAAGGAAGGACGCTCACTAACATCTAGAAATAGCTTAGAAATCTGGATTGCGATTAAAGATATCTATGAGGATCCTTCTAACCCCCTTACATGGCCAAAATTATTAATGACTGATGGTGATGCTTCGTTCCGAGGCGCATTTTTACGAGGAATGCAACAGTATAATATCCCAATACGTGTTGTCGATCTTTATAGTTTTGAGAGTTTGGCTTTTATTAAAGCATTTAAGAAAAGAATGGCAGTATTAACATATAAGGTCCAATATGCTATAGAGGGACGATTAACTGATGGGGAGCGATCAAGGATATTTAAGAGAATCCTTAAGAAGTATATTGATTATCTGAATAACAGTAAGACTCGCCTTATTGGAATGTCACCAGCTCGTGCTATGACTTTGGAAGAAGTTGAATCAAAGCCTTCTAAAAAACCTAAGCGTGCAATCGGAAAAGATGAGGAGATAAAATTACAAAAAGGTACGGCGGTTAGATATCTATTAAAAGCAGGCGAGTTGGAAGGAGACCATAGACGTAGAGCAACCGATCCGTATTGGAGCTTGCGTGTCTTCAAGATTAAAAGAGTCGTTATTGGAAGAAATCCACCACAACCAGTCTTATATTATCTCGAGGATGGACCTATTGAATCAACTGCTCACTTGATGGGACGGAACCCTAAACGACCTTTCAAATATGAGGAACTCCAAGTAATTGAGGAATCCGATAAAATCGAATATCCGCCCGATGAATTTATGCGAAAATACCACCCTACTGGATTCATTCACTTCACTCAAGTTACCGATAACATGCTAATAAAAGCACATGAATATGCATCTCGGCGTGATGGTCAATGCCTTGGAAAGACTGGGCAAATAAATGGCCATGACGTATATCTTTGGTCTTGCAAGAATGGTGCACATCAATGGGAGTATCCATTGAAGTATATCATGAAAAAATTCGAGTGGTGCCCTCTATGCCACCATAGAAACGATGAACGCCGATGCCGATACATTTTTGAGGATCTACTAGGCAAGAAATTTCCATCATGTAGGCCGAATTTTTTGGATGGGATGCAACTCGATGGATATAACGAGGAGTTGCGACTAGGATTCGAATTTCATGGTAGGCAACACTATACTCTTAATTCTATGTTTCATAGGAAAGGCCAGATAGATTTGGATGAACAGAAAATGCGCGATCAGAAGAAGCGGGATATATGCAAGGATCAAGATATATGTCTTATCGAAGTTCCCTATACATGTGACCTTTTCCCTTACATTAAGCATACTCTAATCGAGAAAGGGTTCTTGAGTGAAGCGAAGCGGTCCCAGAAGGACCAGCCCAACACTTGAAAGCTCACATGTTTTTTGACCGGGCCCGGCTGAAATTTGCAAGATTTTTTAGTATATCATTAGTAATAGATAGTTCGACATGAAAATAAAAAAGCTTGATCCAACAGAAAAAATCATTCTCCATATTGATGAGATTAAAGATGCAAAGAGGTTTAACGGATTGAATTCGACTCCTCAATGGGCCTTTACATTACTAATCAGTGGTCGTACCAATTCAGGAAAAACTGAAGAAGTCGTGAACCTATTATTAGGGACTAAGCCTTATCGTAAAAAGGGAGGAACTCGCTATATAAAAAATGACGATTTGGTCCTTATCGGTCACTATCTCAATGAGTCAAAATATAAGTATCTCAAATTTTGGTATCAGACAATTGCAAATAGCCCCAAACCATATCGTGAAGACATCACATTTCGGGCTATAAAACCTGAAAAGATTCCGAAGCCAGATTCGTTCTCTCCAGAAAGGGGTACAGTAGTCATATTCGAAGATCTGTGTGCCGATCCAAAGAATGTTCAGGAGAAGATTATTCCTTATTTCACTAGAGGACGACACAGTAATATTAGCAGTATTTACGTCTCTCAGAGTTTTTTTGACTGCCCAAAACTGATAAGAAAAAACGTAAATTATGTTGTACTTTTCAATGGGTCCACTTCAGATGAATTAGCTCGTATTCTTCGCCTATATGCTAATGACTGGCGTAGCATATATGCGGATGTCGTTAACTATTTGACTGATCACAATTTTATTGTCTTTGATTTAACAGTGCCTCCAAACCATCCTCATAGGATTCGGAAAGGATGGGACCAAATTTTTGAAAAAAATGATATTGAATCTTGATCATAGACTATGCGAATACGCAGGTCGAAATGTATATTTTTTTCGGGTTTCTAGATCATGTTCAGATTCACTACGCCTCTTCGCCCATAATTTCCTTTCATGAGTGGTAGAATATATTTCTGGTTCTATAGTCACATCATTATGCTTTGTTTTGGAAAGGATCTGATCAACAAGAGCGATAATTTTCCTGTCCTTAGCAGAAATAATATCCTCCAGTTGCCGGCATTTATTCTCTAATATGTCAATGGACTTTTCTGCCGATGAAATAGCTTTCTTCGTATCAGGAATTATACTTTTGAATAAAGCTACCGAATCTGATAATTGGCTGACTTTCTCACCACTCTCTTCCAAAGACCTGGTCATGGCTACCTCACGAGACTTATATTGCTCTTGCAAGTCAAGAAGCTCTTCAATCTTTTTTTCCAATACCTGCTTTGATATACACAATTCATTTTCTTGCCTTAACGAAGTTTCACAGTCGCTAGTAATAGGCTTCATCTTCTGATGCTTTTTTTGCTTAATATAATTTCCAACCGCCTTATTTAACAAATCTTCCACTTCGGGATGGATACTACTTGCCTGTTCTATCGATAATGGATGTTTTCGTGAAGTAAGACGTCGCCATGTATCTATTTTGATGGAACGAGGGAGCTGGTTAAGTTGCTTTGAGTAATATACGTGAAAGGATGGTGTTAGTATACCAGTCATTGTTACCATAGGTAACTAATAAAAAATTTTGAGAATTTTATAGATTCAGAAATTTTATAAGAAAATTTTGAGAATTTTACGCGCTAATATCACGGATTGCGTCACATCAGATAGAGATCTGCTAGAAATCTCCGCATTATGATTGGCAAAAAATTCACGTGATTTTGGGCGAACCGAGTTCGCTGAAATTTGCCAAGAATACATGGTCACGTCTTTCGTGATACAGATAATAAGTTTTTAACCATTTCGTTTTGCAATTGCTTATCTTCCAATTTTGCAACTCTGGCCTTAAGCTCAACATTCCTGGCTTCAATCTTAGCAAACTTCTTTCTAAGTTCGGCATTTTCGACCTCAAGCCTGGCAATGCATATTTTCAATGAATCGGTCTCATCTATTTCGGATTGCATGCTAACGTAATGTAGTATTAGTATGTTAATATTCAAAATAAAAAGTCATGTGATTTTGGCAGGGGCACCCCAGCTGAAATTTGCCAAAAAAAATTATTATCTAATACACTCGCTTTATTAATAATATAACTTAATAAAAATACATGTATCAAATCTCTATTCTATGAATTTTTGGGGGTCGAAACTGTTACTACCATTTCACTAGAACTATGCTCATTATCTCCAGAGTCAGGACTATATAATATTTTGTGAAGTGTACACGCTACAACCGTTCTCAATGTTAATAAAGTATGGATAAGCGGATATACGGCACTCGGTGAAGTCATATGCAACGGAATTGTTGCCTCCTCTATTAAGCAGTACTTGTAAATACCCGATTCTTTTCGCATAGCATAAAGTTCTATAACATCGCCTAGAAATGGATAGAGCAGAATATGAATGATTTATGAATATATAAAAAAATAGAGTATTTATTTGTACCTGCGATATTAATAGTAAATATGGTCAGATTCTGCCTTGTTGATGGTTGGTTAAATATCTTCTTAAGGTTTTTTATGTTCCTCGTAGTGTCTATAGAATCCTTGGAAAAACGGATTAATTTTTTGTAATCACAAACCCGCTTATCCTGACTGGAATTAGGTCTACCGGTCTCAAGATACACAATTTCAAGTTCAGCCTTTTTTCCTAACCGGGCTACCATCATATAATCGACTCTTCGGGCAATTTTACGAGAACCTTTTCGTATGGCACTAGCTGAACTTCCTTCTTCGCCCCTTATTTTTAAAAATATATTAATTATAGCGAAGGATATAATAGTGATGTAACTTTTCGAGCTAAGCTTACCATATATCCCATACTATTGGTTTTCCTGGTAAATCGCTCATCACTA